CCTTCACAATCAAAGAGGAATCATTAGTTGAGAGGTGGTATCCCTGACACCAGCCTGGCATATGTTAGGATCTGGCATATGTTGGAGACTAGGCCAAAAGTGGATGTGCGGGGTCACTGAAAACCTAGTCATAGGAAGATTTCCCAATCCAGGACTGTGTCTAGACTGGCAAGTTTTTCCGCAAAATCATCTGCTTTTGCGGAAAAACTTGCCAGCTGTCTACACTGGCCGCTTGAATTTCCACAAGAACACTGATGATCTCATGTAAGATCATCAGTGTTCTTGCGGAAATACTGTGCTGCTCCAATTCGGGCAAAAGCCTACTTGCACAAATCATTTGTGCAAGAGGGCCAGTGTAGACAGCACAGTACTGTTTTGCGCAAAAAAGCCCCGATGGCTAAAATGGCGATCGGGGCTTTTTTGCACAAAAGCGCATCTAGATTGGCACGGACACTTTTCCTCAAAAAGTGCTTTTGCGGAAAAGTGTCTGTGCCAATCTAGATGCTCTTTTCCGAAAATGCTTTTAACGGAAAACTTTTCCATTAAAAGCATTTCTGGAAAATCATGCCAGTGTAGACATAGCCCAGATTTGTTTCACAAGGGAGAACATACTCATATTTAGGAAGTTGTGGGTCGGATAGGTAGGATGAAAACTTACTCATCCAAAGCACAGTGTTGGGTTCGGCTAATGGAGTTCTGTCTGGGTTTGCTGGAGCAGGTGATTGTTCTTGGGTATAGACAATTGTGAGGATTGATGAAGGCCTCCATGGGTTTGGATAATTCAGGAAGCTTTTGAGATCCAGGATGCTTATTGAATCCAAATGCTCAGTCTCTTGACATTCCCTCATTTCTGAAATATACTCTACATATATAGTCCCATTGTAACAACAAAACTAGTTTTGGGATCATATTTGGCATTACTTTTCTTTCTATGCTGACAATGCTAAAGTTGGGAATTTGCAAGTTACTGCTTTCCATATATTTGACTGTTCTAAGAAAAGGTCTAAACATTTGGTTATTCCCCATGAAATCCTACAATGCAGGCCAAGATTATTTTAAAGGGGAGAAGATATAATTATTATTATCATGTCCACAAGTTGAAAAATGAAGAGGATTTCCATTAAAAAAAATTACAGGAAACCTTGTAAATTTTTGTGCTTGTTTTCTTTTTAATTATTTGCCCCAGATTAAAGTAGACTAAAAAATACCATTGACTTTTTTTTTCAGCAGGGGATTTTCCCACCCTGGAAAACCCATAGCAGAAAACTTGCAGGTGGCTTCCAGTCATCTGAGTAGGGTGAAGGCAGAGGTTTGGAGCAGGCAATCTGCCCCTGTGTTCATAGTGACTGTGAATTCAAGAAAGTCAAACCCTGCTATGTATTCGGTGTTAATTGTTACATAGAAAATCAAATCAGAAAAATCCCCCCACTCATATATTAGCAAAACACTTCTGGGGCATTGCTAGGACTTTTTTTTATATACATAAATGCTGACTTATCAAAACCTAAACATTTCACAGGACATGGTCAGTGATTCTTTTATTTGAAATGTTTAAAAAAGTTTTCAAAATTGTCATTGTTTTGTTTTGACACTTTCAACATCAAAATTAGTTTTCTGGTTTAAATGGCATGATATTTTGAAATTTAAGCTAATTGCAATGCCTATTTTTTTAAAAATGGACAAAATCAAAACAATTCTTAAATTCATGAAACAAAATCTTTTAATTGACTTAACCCATTTTTTGGACTTTTGATTTGGTTAAAAATGTGAGATTATTTACTTTTTTTTGCCAGAACATGAAAATTTTGCTGGAATTTGAATTCTTAAAAATTTTCATGGATTGGTAAAACCATTTCCATAGATTAATTCTAATTGCCATCTTGGTCTGTCTCTAAACTTTTGTGAAAAATACCAGATAAATGGAATGGTGACCCAACTCCTCTGTTTAAGAAGAGACAAGGAGAGGATACAAACCAAGACGACCTTGAAAATAAGAGAGGCTAATTTAAGATCAGACTTGTTTCTGACCTTCCAAGAATTATCTGCAGTGACTGTCTGAAATGCTGTCTGAACAGCATTTTAAATTAATGAATTGGGCATGAAACTCTTCTTCCCATACAGCAATTGTGAATATTGGTTTGATGATGCACTAGCTAAATCAAAGAGAACCTCTTCTCAATAAATCTTGAGGAGAATTTCAGTAAGTGATAAAGAATTTTGAATTCTAAGGTGTTTGCTATAATAAAGACATATAATATCCTCACTCCCTTAAAATTAAGTTATCTCAGTAGATAGATGACTCAGATACTAATGAACTTGGGTGGTGGAAGGGCAAAATAGACTGTCAACTGATCTGGAAGCATCATATACAGGGCTCGCTGAACTGTGGCGAGCCCCGCTTGCCAGCCACGCTGTCCGGCGATGTCCGCATGCGCAGATTGCCCAAACCCAGCTCTTCCGGGTTGCAATCTACTCACCAAGGGCGAGTAGATTGCATTATTTGTCGAGCCCTGATCATATATATATTCTGCCTCTGTACTGCTTACAAATGCTGATTGATGAACTGTTAGCAGTAATTTATGATCAGTATTCATAAATTTCTGAAATGGCCATGGGTCATTCCGGAAGGGGTAGGGTCAGGAGACTTCTCCTGTTCGCTATCCCAGACCCTGATTGGCCCAGGGGTGAGGGATCATGTGAAGTCTCCTCCTCCACGCCACTGTGGCTAGAAAGAATCACCAGCTGTTTAAAAACAGTTCCCTTTAGGTAATGCAATCAGGGCCTGGGGGCTGGGGGACTGTGCAAAACAAAGCAGAAGAGCAAACATGTTCCCTGGACGTGGCGGAGTTTTTTTGGGATACCTCCGGTATGCCAACCCGCCCTCCCCCAGTCTAGCCGTACCTCAAGTGTTATGGCACCTACCTTTTAGTTGCCTAGAAAATTATTGAAACAAAAGTGTAATCCATAGAGTCTGAGTTAGTCATGTAAATACTGAAATTTCCTTAAAAAATGTCAAAATGTAACATTTGGACATTTTCAAAATGTTACTTCTGTTTTCTTGTCTAAAGTAATTTTATCACATTTTAAATGATTTTTGTGAAAAATTTCATTTACTCAAAATGGCATTTCCCAACTGACAACTGTTTCAACAACACTTTTGCAAGCAGGGCTACAAATCACACTGCCACCTTCATTTAAACCCCCAGACTGAATCCCAAACCTTAGTTCCATGCCTTTGGACTACTGTGAAATGGAGCCAAGAATTATCTTCACCAAGAACCTTGCCTCGGCTAATAGAAGTGGAATTCCACAGTCCAAATTACCATTGTCCTGCATAAAACTGACTTCAAATACTACCGTGTCAGAATGGTTCCAGGTTGCACCTGCTCTGGACTGGGGTCAGTGATCACTGAAAAGGCAGGATAAAGATGAATCAGGGTTTCAAGTATACATCAGTCCAGCTACCATGCATAGTACAGAAGAAGTGATGTCAGCGAAAATTAGCTGTCAGCTGGGAATGACAGGTACCCATCAAAGAAACCTCTGTCCCCAAATGGGTGGCGGGGGGAAGGGAGGCTGGGAGGGAGTGAGAGTAAGTTCGCTGAACCTATAATTTATTATATGTTTGTACAGTACCAGAGGGAAAGTTGCTTGTGGCCTTCAGATAGTACTAAAATATAATAATTAAAGCTAGATTACTATTAACTATTATTTTGCAGATGAAGTTTGACTGAACTTCCAATGTTGGGTACCTCTGTCGGGCCTTGAGAGGTGACATCTGTAGTCCCTTGTAGTGTCTGCATGTGGCACTGGTGCAAATGTGTTGTACCATCTCTGTGATGTCACGTAGATCCAAACTGTAGAGCAACTTTAGAAATACTGAGGCTCATGAGGAGCCCTGAGGTTTGATAATAAGGACCCCTGTGCTTGATAATAAGGGGCTAGTGTAAGGGGACTGTTAGCCCCTTACTAAAACTCTGTGGGAGTTTTTGGTTTGCCAGCTCGCAGTATCTGAAGGGGAAGAGTTCATGAGACTGACTGACCCCAGAGACAATGGAAAGCAGCCAACACTCCAGCTCAGCCTGATTGACAGGTTGGACAGGCCAGTGAGGACAGTGAGAGGCCAGGCCCCGTCCTCTCTGTGAGCAGGGATTGTTCTGGGTCTCTCTGAGCAAGGAGAGAGCTGAGAGAGCAGTGCAAGCTGTGTGCAGAAGAAGTCCTGCAAAAGGAACAGAGAGCTGAGAGACTGCTAAGAGGAGTGCAAGCTGTGCTGAGGGGCAGTTTTTGCAGCAACAGAGCCAGGCATACAAAGCTCAAGGAGTGCAGACCCTGTGTTGAGCAGAAGACTGGCAGTGCTCAGAGACCCAAAAGGAACAGAGAAGCAACACAAGGAGCTGGAACTGGCCAAGCAGCACAGCCTGCAGCTGGATGTGGTGAGCACCTGGCACCAGCAAAGTGTGGGGAAAGGCTCTGGACTGGGAGAGGGGTCTAGCCAGTTCGAGCTTGAGACTGTGTGGTCACTACCAGAGCTAGCGTGTCCAGCCTGTAGCTCCCCCTGCAGCATATCCAGGGCCTCTAAGAAAGAGACTGTGGACTGTCCTTACACTCTGCAGACTGCTGTTTTGATGTCCCTGTGCTACAGAGCAGGGCTGTGTGTTCTTATTTAACCATTCTCATTTTTCATATTCTTTTCTCTTTAATCAGTTGTTGTTTAATAAATTGTATTTGCTTTGAACCTTATGAAGTGATCACTGGGCCAAGAAGGCCTGCAGTGTAAAGAGAGCACCTTGGAGTGAGGACACCCTAACTCCTGCCCCTAGTGACTACAAGGTCAGGGATTAAGCCCCAGGAAACCTGGGCCCAGCCTTGGGGTTTCAAGGGCTCTGCTACTCAGGAGAGTGGAGGGGGAGCCCTCAGGATCAGGGAGCCGTGGGGTAAAGGAAGTGGGAGCGGGGACTCAGATCCTTTCGCTGGTTCATTTCACCGGGGTGGTATAGAAGCCAGGAAAGTTCCCCACAATAGCGGGATCATTCCCCCGCTTACACTAGCAAATCATATGCTCCAGCAAGGTCAAGACTTGATGGATGGTAGGCAGCAAAGAATAGGCCCCGCATGCCCTAACGGAAATAAATAGGATTGCTCAGTGAGTAAAAGATGGAGTATCAGGCTGTGTCACAGTGACTCATTAAAGAAAGAGCGTAGACACATGAGACAGAAATATCTTCCCTGGTAACTGGGTGATATTTTTAGCCCTTATTATTGGAACCCCTTCCTTTGGAATTGTACAAAAATGAAGTGGTGTGAGCTGTCATGCTTTCTATTATATGCTGTCCATTTGACACAGCAGGATGTGATCTCAAATGCCTGCAAAGAGCAAATGCAAAGCGTGGACTTTTCAAATCTCATCATACCAAGAACTGGATCTGTTTTTCCAGTGAGTGGCTGGATTGTTTTTCAGAGCAGACAAAAGACTGAAGGAGTATTGTGAATCGTTGGTCTTACTGCTCCTGAATATATGATTGACATGGAGGATGCTGCTTTTCATGAAGATGCCGTCACCTCCTTGCACCTATCCTCAGTCCTAGTGCTGTTATCACTGATGTAGAATAATCCTAAAACCTAGGAGCTAATAACATAGGAAAAGAGTAAACAGAAAATAATGCACTTTGTATTGCTTTTTTCACCATTAATTCAACCCGCTCCCTCCCCAATTAGGCTAATCAGAACATGGAGTTCACTCACCTTGCTACTGGAAAACCAGATTCCTCAGCTTCCACATGTGCACAGTAATGGCCTGTGAGCCAAGAGAGGTGGCCTATTCTTTTCAGGCCAGTTTGATAAGAGCAGTAAATTTCAGGTCTGAAACCTCTTGGGTTGTGGAAGATATAAGCAATGAGAAAGCTCTGAACAGTTCAAGGACCCAGACTGTCTGCTGGAAGGACTGCCAAGAATGATAAAAATGAAAATAAATTTCATTTTACTGCTCCTCTCTACTGCAATAAATTTCTCTTGTATCTTCACAAAATACACACATGGATCATCTCTATAAATCTGCAGGGAGAAATTTGCGTACAAAAGTACCATTCCCTTTTTTTACACTTCTGTTTGTGATGCCTTTGTATAATTTATGGATAGTGTCTAAATGGGTTGGAAGAATAGATTGAAATTGTAATCCACACATGTCATTACAATACTGAATTTAGTTAAAAAGTAAACAAGCATAATCCTAGAAATCTTTCCCCTTTCTATAGTGACTTTTTTTGGTCTCCTAAATAGTTCTATGCTTTAGAGGGTAGATTTTTGTACCCCGGCTTAAATCCTTATGGACTTGTCTATAAGCACTGCTATTTTTATATGACATACTGTTTACATGTTCAGTGCATATAGTTAAACAGCAGCA